TGTTTTTTTTGTGTCACCTTTTGGGACAGTAAAAATGCTTTGATTTTCTTTAATAACATCTTTTGTAGTAGGAAAGTGAATCTAGTTGGTACTTTATTGCGGGTAGGAAGGTCAAAATTTAAAAAAATCCTAATAGGTAGTTTAAATAATATATTAATGTGAATAGAATATAGATCCATTTAAGCTTTTAGGCATACCTATTATATTCATCAACAATAAACTTCAATTGTATAATTTGTAACACCAATAATAAATAATAATTTCCAATGCATTTATAGGTATTTGATTTGATAATAATTAAAAACTGCACACCAATTAATCTAATTTATCATTGTCGTCTGTCAATTAGGTACATAAAAATGCAAACAACCGTCCCTAATTTTTTTTTTATTATTGCAGTTAAGTTTTACTGGCTTTCCATCTAAACTTATCTTAATTGGTCACGTTAATTATAAATAAGAACTTTCTGGAAGCATAGTATTGTAATGTATGATAATTATTTTATCATCTATATAAATTTCTTAGAGATAGACTTAAAATGGTTCAGAAATGCTAAAAATGATATAACAATTTAACAGTTCAATTTTAATATTTAAAACTTGGATCAAAATTAATTTTAAATGAATAAGCGGGTTTCTATACATCCACTTCCTTTACCACAATCATTGGATACCTGTTCATATGACTCAATATCAATGATCCACATGTTTTTCTTGGGTGATAAAAATGTATTCTACTTAAAAATCATTTTTACCGTTTTTAAGTAGATTCCAACTGTAAAAAAGTATACGCCAAACTGTGAAAAGAGGGCGATGATACAATATTGTAATTGAGTTTAATATAATAAATAAAACGAGAAAAGTTGCATTTACATTGTACACATAAAATTTCCTTACACAAACATTGTGTTAGATCTTCAGAATTGATATAATTGATGTTCATTCAATCATATATATATATATTACTTTCATGTGTAGTTAAATAAAGTATAATACGTTTTCAGTGGCGTAGCCAGTTGGTGCTGTGGGGCTACAGCCCCCCCCCCTTGAAATAGCTTAGAAAAAAATTATTTCTATATAGTCTTATGGAAGTTATTGCGAATTAGGAGCTGCAACCTAAAATCAAACCTCGGCATCAGTATGCTCAACATATGAGAGAGGGGGACCCTATAGTTAAACCAACTCTGTGTAAGCACATTATCAGCACCCCCTCCCCCCTAAAAAATATATATCCTGGCTACGCCACTAGTGTATACATGTATAATACATGTATGTGAAATTATAGATGACACATTATATATTATATATATAACTGTATAAAGGTTAAGTAATTAACAGACATTAAGTTAATGATATTTTATATAATAATTATTAGTTACAATAACATTTCATTAATTGTTAACTGTAATTTTGGCAATACTCTAGTATGTATAAATATAATAGTTATATTAATTATCTTAGAAATTCGAGGTCTTCCCGTAAACAAACAAATTGAAAATCGTTTTAATTTATTGTCTTAATATTACTCATTATAAACATATATCAACATTTGAGTCATATTATTTTATGACCTAATGGCCAATAATCTTGGGGGCTCGTGTGTTATACATTTCAGTTGAATAATAAACCTTAATAATTTATATTTTTAGTCATTCATGAATGTTTAAAATTCGTTAAATAAAGATAGTATTTTTTAAAGACTTTAATATTTTAATGTACCTCACTTTGCTATAAACGTAGTATCTTTACATATGAAAGTACCTTAGTTGTCTTTGTATCTTCTTTTTATGTTATTGATATTATATGATTATTTTTTTATTTTATCAGTCTAATTTTCATAAAATTAAACGGATTCGTACACTTAAAGATAAAATGCTGATAAATTGTATACGCATGACCTTTTATTTACCTTATTAAGCATGTTTGTGTTTAGGAGAGACGTATAATGCACATGTTCTGGTACAAGAACCATCTATATAGTATGATATCATTAATCTTAAATAAGGAAGGTATATTGAGGAATAAATCAAATTAAACTGTAAATGTAAAAATACCTAATCAAAAATATGTAATGAGGTTAAGCGTTAACTAAAAATGGTTGTAGTTAAGAATAATAATAATGTTACATTTCAAAAAGTTTGAGTGGTTTAATTTGTGTATTTGTATTTTATATTAATATTTGACATATCGCGTTTTCGTAAATAAACAAATTAGTCTGTAAACCATTTTTTTTTTTTAATGCGGTTCAATACTTTAAGGCCAACTGAATTAGTGTAACTATTGAAGCTTTAATTGATATTTCTCATAACATCTCTAGTCCTCTAAAATGTTTAGGTAGGTATAAGGTATATGAAAACGGATATTTTATTTCCGTTCGTTATTTCAATTATACCTATGACAATTAAATACCTATTAGTATAGCTTTGAGTGGTATAAGCAATGCCGTTATACCTTATACGTACAGGGTCTAACGAAATGGAATTCCATTTTTAAGATTGTACCTATACATTTTTGAGATAGTATAATAATTAATAATATAATCCATATTATATTAGTATATTCAACATTTTATATTATGTATAATATTATAAGAGTAATATTGTAAATATAACAGTGCAAACAATAGTTTATATTCAATTACAAAATATAAATATAATTAATTTGAGTATTTGACTTGATAAAATTAATAATAGTGATGCACAAACAACGCAAAATATAAATTTGACTTATGTTTTTTACACATTGTGGACTGCAAAAGTATATATCATGTATACATATACTTAAAGACTAAATGTGAACCCAACTTTTCGGAAACTCATACGTCATAATATTAAAATGAAATATCTCATTTAATATCGTGTAATATGTAACTCATATAATGAGTATAAATATTATGACGTTTTTGAGCGAACGATGACGTATTCTCAGTCATGTATCATTAAGATATGTAATGTTTTCTAACTATTGTCATTACGAATACGATGTACACATCATAAAAATATTTACATCTGCTCTCATTATTTATACTTTTTGTATGAATTTTTAATAAATATTTAGGTAATAGTTAAGCTAATATTCAATATTTTTTTTTTTTGTTTATATGCCCTAGAACCACGTGTTGTTACTTTTTATACGAACATTACGTACATGTAGGTATTCGTTTACATTTTACCAATATTTTATTGGAGGTGCATTATAAGATTGAATACTCAATCGGTATAACTAACAAGTTATTAAATAACCTAGTACTGTTCGTGGGATAAATACGAGCCTTAATTTTGTTACCCTGTACGACTGTGCATAACCATTTGCTTATCTAATCTCCAGTTCCGAGGCCATTGTGAAAATAATGTCTCACTGCTTGTACGATTTTAATTATTGTTGGTCCTCTGTACAGAAATCACACGCAGCGTGCAGTAAAAACGTTCGCAAACATTTTCTTTTCTATTCCAGGTCGGTTCGTGATTCGTGCTGCGTTTGAAAACACGTTTCCCTTAAGAATAAAGGGTAGGTTGTCTTGTAACGTTTGTGCGAAGGGGGGGAGGACAAATGTAGGACGCCGCTTTCCAATGTACATCGGTGTGCCTGCTGCTCGAATATATAAGTAGATATAGTAGCAGTTATATACCGTACTATGCGCCTTACTACAAAACTGCAGAAGTTTCCTTTCGCCAACCAATCGGTGATTTTACTTTTCGATTTTCAAACACCGTCCGTCGTGTATAAATGAAAATCGTAAAAGTGTCATGACGCGCGAAGTCCCAAAAAACTGCGTGACATGATCTTACACAGAAACGATCCACATCACGACCAAAATAATAATGGTTCGAAACAAACGATTATCATCTCTCCTCCTCCCCACCCATTTCACAGTTGTTTCAAAACTAAAATTGTGCATACTGTGCACGATATTAAAGAAGATCATGATTGTCAATACTCTATCTGGTCGGGGTAAACGAATGTATACAGACACGCACACATTTTTTTCAACCAGATTTTTTGTTTCGTACGCGTTAAAATGTACGCGATCGGGATGTTATCATCGTTTTTCTCAACCTCTTCCTACTTCTCCTCCGCGGCTCCTCCGCGAGTTCGGCAGCTGGCAACGTTGCCAAACCGTGCGCGCAGCGTCACCCGACTGCGTGAGTGATACGGTTGGCCGGAAAACGTATCCGCCGTGTCGTGCATCATGCGTATAGTCACCACAGTGAGATCGGAAGAAGGAAATCAGAATTATCGAAATAAGGTTAACCAGAGTACCAGACCGTAGGGCGTACGCGGACCACGTTTGATGTATAAATGCATTATATGACGGCTACGCGGACACCGACGACGACCATAACACCTACCAACCAACACCATTACTCGGTACTCTACCACCCTCCCGGTTCCAACACCACTATCACTCGACTCGTACTTTGACACACGTTGTGCAATTCAAAGCCCACACGACCGATCATTTTTGCGGGCGAACGATCGCCTGCCGGACGGGCGGGATCCACGCGCCGCCGTCGGTCGGGTTCGAAACGCTACGAATTTGTTGCATAGCCGGTGCGCCCGAACAATCGTGAAAAACTAAAAAATACCCGTGAGATTCGCTCGCGCGTTACATTTTTACTACTCGAAACAATGTGAGGGGGTGTCCACCGGGGAGGGAGGAGAATGGACAGGAAAGTTTTATATTAAACCATTATAACACCATATATTATAATAAAATAATATAATAATAACACGATATTATTATTGTACGGCGTACCGTCCATCGTCGTCGGTTTGTCGGTGTTCCAACGCGTCAAGGCGGGTCCTTTCCCCTACCTCGGGCCGCGCGCGCACACACACACACACACACACACACACACACACATACACATACACACGAGCGTACGCACGCCGCGCCCGCGCCCCCTTCACGCAGCATGCACGCACGCACCGTCACCGCCGCCGTCACCGCCGCCGTCGACGTCGCCGTCGCCGCTGCCGCCGCCGCACTCCACCACGTATCGCGGCCCCGGCTTCTCCGCCCGTGCTCGCACACACGACATCGTATCATTTATATATATTATTTCGTATATACGCGTTTCCCGTTCGCGCGGCCGTTCCGCACCGCACATAATATACTGCACATCGTACTCTCCCCTTGCGCGCGCGCGGCGCCCGTTCGTGTTTGTGTGCGTGTGTATGTGTGTTTGCGTGTGCGTTTCTGTGCGTGTGCGCGAAAATTTATTTTATTTTTTATTTTTTTATTTATTTATTTTTTATAATTTTTTTTTTTTTCGTCGTATTCCCCCAGCGTGGTGATTTTATTACAACGGACGTTCGACAGTCCAAACGACGCCGTGTACCGTGTGCGCGAGTGAGTGAGCGTGTGTTATGTCCACGTACGCCGACGTTCACGGCGGCCGTCTGCGAGGCGTTTTGTCGTCCGCCTGCACCGCCGCCACTGTCGCCCGCACGGCGTAAAACCATCCCTCGCCGCCGTTGTACCGTCCGCGCGACGGCCGAGGTGCGCCAGCCTCCGCGTATGATTTCAACGCCCCGACTGCATCCTCCCGTACCGGAGAAAGGAACCGTGTGCTGTCCCCACAACCCCCTCGGACACGTAACTACCCCAGGACTTGGTACCCCACCCGTAAACCGTTTTTTGCTTAATCGGTAACCACCCCGCGCTGAATGTTGGACTTGACCCCGACTCATCACACCAAACGTGTAAGTCGCACCGTCGTTTGCTGTGACTAAGTGACTTAGCAATGGTTTCGGACCAACAAAGATGATAACGGTGCGCGAAAAATGGTGATAACGTCGTCGTCGTTGTTCCATTACTGCTGCTGTTGGTGCGGCGGTCGCGCGGTCCAAAGCTGACACACGACACTCTGCGCCCCGCGAACAGCCCGACGAGGGTTTTCAGGTAAAACTCTCAAGTCTAACTCTTTTTATAAGCGACGTAATTATTTTTCGGTGTTTTGCTGTTGATCGTTTGTTCGCCTTATTCGACCAAATGGGAATGGAATTTAATTGTTTTCTATTCGCGTTAACGTCATCGTCTCTTGACTCTAGCGCGCGTGCGCCCTCGTATAAGCTCTCGTGGTCATATCCTCGAGGGTACATTGACTTGCGCGCTCATGAAATATCCAATCCTTTAAAGCGTATTTAGCGTTGTATTATCATGGTGGTGTGTGACTGCTCGAGAAATCTTGTGTCGCCAAAGTAGTACCTAGTGTCTATTAATTGTATTATTACCTATATTTGATTGATGACGGGAAAGGGGGTAGGACACCGATAAAGGATATTCTCCAAGGTTGTGTCAGGAACAGTCTCCTGATCTCAATTTTTCTATTGCCATTTTGCCACTGTTCGGCTCAACAATTAATGTTTTTTTTTTTAAATGTGTTTTTTGCATACTCATTGCCAACCTAAATTAGATTTTGACTTGTATTTAGCTAAATAGGCACAAACTCAATATTAATATAAATTTTGAATTTGTTATTATTACAATATTAGTTACTATTTTTGCTGGTAGTATTGCTGTGCAACAAATATAATCTTCTATCTTCAGGCATCCTACGCTCTTGAGTTACATTAATTAGTTTTATTTCCTTTTGTTATTTTAATTACCACTTAGTTAATATAAATCACATATAAAAACTAGTAAATTGTGTTATGGATGGATGTCAGTAATTTTTACAGCCTATGTGTTTGTTTGTTTTAAAGTTCAAAGTATCAAGTATGTTATATACATTTATTTGTTAAAGATAGTGGTTAAATTATGAATTATTGCACAAAGAAAATTCAACTATACAAATATGCTTTCAGTTTAAATATATAATACAATATGTACCTACCTACTCATGTTTATATTTTTTTCATTCATTAAATTGTATCAGGTTATTGAAGTTAAGAAACTTATGACATACATTCAGTTTTTTTTATTATGTTAAAAACGATTCTACATATCAAGGTGAAACGGTGAACTTTTATTTTAACATTTATTAGTTTGTATAAAGTACCCATTGAATTTAATTTGTTATTTTATATTTGGTACCTGATATTGAGGATACTATACCCAACAGTACATTAGATTATGTTATCTTAAAGATATATCTCATGAGAAATTACCAATATAAAGTGGCAGAGTAATGTTGTATAAATTAACCTTTAAACTCTCATGTGCAACTATGATTTTGCCTTCATCCACCCTTATTTGTATTTCATACAATGTATACTTATATTCATTGAAATATTATGATACAATATACTAATTATAATTCTAAGACATTTCAATAAATACACTGCATGCATTCAGCTCATCAATAATAATGACTTATCGTCTGAGTATTATAATATTTATATATTACTATTAAAATGTTTTTATTGTACAAGTAGTAAGTAGTAAGTGTGGTACGGTACCTGATACTCATAGGTGTCTTTATTAACTGACTTACTACTTAAGTATGACTTTCAACCATAATTATTAATTTTAATTTTACAAAAATAAAAATTAGTCGTTTAATCTCATAAACAAGCGGTTCTTAACTTGCGGTCCTGAGGGTCCACAACATTATTAATCTTTCTGATTGTGCTTGAGATTTTAAAGAAGAAACTTTTGTGTAAAGAAATGTGCAAATGTTGATAAAATATCAAAAAAATTGAGTCACTATTATTATAATATATCTATATGTAGCAATTAAGTATTTATTTATTTGTGTTTGTTCATAAACTTAGAGGGTCTGTGGCTTCATAGAGTATTTTTACAGGTATGCATATTTCACAAAAGATTAATAACTGCTCTCTTAAATTATTTTTTATTATGGTTTAAAAAACACATTAGGTAAACCACAATTTTAATATTCATTTAATATTTAGAATTCAAGTATACCTACTATATATGGTTTGTTTAAACACTGAAAATTAATAGGTTTGACTTAGGTAGGTTGAGTCAATAATGGTTTTGAAAAATCCAGTGGGTAGAGAAAAATTTAGGATTGTGGAACAAAAAAATTTGCAAATATGATTTTTTTCATCTTCTTGCGATATGCTATCCTAGCGTATCTACTACAGAAGTAATAATATTATTGTGATAATTCAAGAGTTGTTTAATATTTATCATTAATAATTGATATAGATTATTTACTACTTTTATATTTATATATTAAAAAGGATCAACCCCAAGTCCCAAGGGGGATTGCCAAAACCACCGCTAGATTCATTCAATGGTTCTTGGTTATATTAATGTAGGTTTATTTTTTTAAAGAAAATATTATTCTTATAAACATGCCTTGATTGTTAAGTATATTATTAATTCTTATTAATATAAATAGATACTTATATTGAATTCAATGAAATAAAAACTCAACCAACCAAATAGTAATCAATTTTAGACACCTAGAAAAAGTAATAAATGCCAGGTACAAGAAATAATATAGGTACTTAACTATTTTATTTATATTACCATATAATATTAATTTTAATATTATATATCTTAATCTATAGAATGTATTTATTAGGCGCAGAAATATTGATTTTAATGATTGACTCAAATATTTGTATTATTATTTCATAAGTAAGTTAGGTATATGGACACAATTTTTAATTTTTATTACTTATTAGATTAATTTTTGCTGGTAGTGAAATTAATTTAATTGATATTGCCGGTGTAGGTACCTAATACATTTTATTAGATTATTATTTTCTATTAGGTATCTATTTCATAGACATTCATTTTATTGAAAAAAATTAACTGAATGCTTAAGATCAATTAAGTTTTAATATTGATATATTATCATTAATTGTATATACTAACTATTTAACTTTTCTAATAATAAATGTTACCTATTTATTAATGAAAACTTATACCTCATTTGAAGTATGTATAGTTTTGTTTATTTTAATTTACCTAATTATAATTTTGAATTCCCGATCGGGACTTCCACAGTTCTACTCCCTCTTCACTACCTCTGTCCATTTAAAAATATATTTGATGAATATAAACTTTTAACAATTTTGTGTTGGTTTCATTTTATGATAACAAAAATGATAACTCAACTGACAACTAGTCAACTATGATAACGTTCCGTACCTTTAAGCACAGAACAATAAATAAATGCTTTAAGCCCGCCAACATATGAAGAACCCTCTTTTTGATGAACTAAAATTTTTTCCTAAGCCTCCCTAAATACGCATTTCAAGAAAAATGTCTGCTCATTATTATTGCTCGTTATTGCTTTATACAAACAATTATTTAGGTTGCATCGAGATTTAGTTTATATGTAAAATATAATCTTAGTACCTATAGTCCAAACAATGAAAATACGTTTTTCCTTATATTTTATAAGGTTAGGTTGGACCTTGAAATTTCTAAACATTTGATCGGTTAGACCTAAAAAATTTTTTTTTATTTTCTTAACAAATATTTTTCTGCAAACAAATGATGGTAATAATCTTGGAATTAGAAATTCCTGGTACAGGTATAACCACAGAAAACCACCACCTTCTAGAATAAAGAAAAATTATTTCATTTTCAAAAAATATCTCATATTTTATTCACAACCACTACTTAAAAAAATATCTAGATGAGATCTAGTTATTTTTGTATATTTTAAATAGCATCTACCTTTATTTTTTTTTTTCATTTATGATATCTATAATGTTGAATAGTAAAACAAAATAAAACACCCTGCCAGAAAAAAATATATTAAAAATTAAAATTATTATTTTAGTCCTTACCTTAAGGATATTAAAATTATTTTATGTTTGATATTTTATATTACGTAATAAAAATGTGTATTAACAATTTAATACTTCTTTAGTTTAATAAAATATGTTCATGTACGTAGATGTATAAAAAATAACGGGTTTAAAATACGATTGCAATTGTCACATTATTCCTACATATTATATGAATGATTTAATAAATGTACTTTAAACTAAAGTAATGGTCATAACTTATAACTTTGGTCGTGTATTAATTTAAGTTTTCTACTTTATAAGTTCCTAAGTAAAAGTGGAACTATGAAAAAATGGTATGGTTAAATCAGTTGAATTTTTTACTTATATCTGTGGCTAATTATTCCCCAAAATATTTACGACTAAGATATAAATATTAAAATTTCAAAGATAAGTAATTTTAAACAATTATGGTGCATAAATAAAATAAATACAATTTTTATTTAGACAAAAAAAATTCAAATATTTTTGTTTAATATAATATTCATATTTCGTAGAAAAATTTCCATGGAAATAAATGTATATGTATTTTATTCAACTTGTGCTTCAGAAAAATGTATCTATATTATTATTTTCGATGTGACTAGATTTATTTTATAAAATAAAATGTAGGTACCTATTAATATAGGATATACAGAAAACTAGTATGATTACGTAACAATGACCTTCGTGATCGTGGACAGCCGGTGCACTATTTGTGTTATAAGTTATAACTCAGTCAAGAAAAAGGCCTTTAGTGTTGAGAACAAACAATTGAATCATTTATTATGTTATGCAAATGTGGAAATGTATAATACCTTTAAAATGAATTAAGTATTTACTATTTAATAATATGTTAAATAAATCTGCCATACACGTATTTATATTATCTTGAAAAGTCAATATACATATTATTAAGATCTTTCATATTCCACATCAAAAAAAATATCATTTTTAATGGCATAAAAAAAATAATAATAACTAAACTAATTTTCCAACAAGCCATATAGACAATAGAATTCAATACCCCACTTTTATAAATACAATTATTTTGTGTTTTTCAAATGTTAAAATAAAATGGGTACTATTTTTATATGAAAACATCTACATTATTTATTTATAATTTTTAAAATTTAAATGTATTTATAATGTAGATACCTAATTAACTATTTCATATTTTTAATTTTAATATTAAAACTTCGAATTTAGTGACTTAGACACTTAGTAAGTAATCTGTTTTTGCTGCATTTAATGAATAATTTTCGTAAAAGCGAAAAATAATTGAAAATTATTTAAAATATTGCACGGTAATATATTTTTTTAAACATTTAGTTTTAAAATTTAATTATTTATTAACATTTTAAAATGCTTATTCACTTGAACAGTTCTGGTCGTACTAATGTTTTGTTGATTTAATTAATTTGTGGGGGGGTAATGATTAATTATATTAAATTGTAAACGTACTTTATTTTTTGAAAAAAAATTGAATTACTCTGCATTTAAAACAGTAGAACTTTTTTACTTTTGTTTTCTTAATTTTAATTCATTAATTTGTAGGAACAAGATAGAATAGTTCGTTGACCTTAATTTCATCCAATAATTACTAATATAATTTTGGGGTCAATTTTATTTTATGTTACTTTTATAGCAAGAAGACTGGCTATGTCGTTAGGGTAGTTTTTTGTTTGCAGCTTTTGTTGATTTATATTGAACGCTAAAGCTAACTGTTTTGTAACTAGTTAATGAACATTACAAAACAATAATTTATAAAAACAACTTACAATTTGTAACAAAAAACAATTGTAGGTATGCCTTCACTCTTAAGTTATAATACCTGATTTTCATATCATTACATTTATTAACTATGCAACTTACTAAGCTTTCTATGAATACCATTTTTGTTTTGTTACAAATAATAATTGTATTATCAATTTAATTTATTTTTGACTTCAAAAATAATGTTATCATATCAGTAGCAAATTTGAGAGTTGTACGCACGTGCGCCCGCGTTAATATTCGTTATCTTGTTTTAAAAGTTTTAACTGACGTAACAAAATTCCCTCAAAAATTCCAAAACTTAATAAGCATCTCAATACATTAGACCTACTAAAAATATTAACAAATACTTTTTTTATTGAATTATTATCATATGTATATTTTTCTGATACATAATATTATTTTAGATCGTTTTGCAATTTTTGGACGTAATAAAAATTATATCCATTTAGGTACCAAAATATAAAAGAGCTTCTTTATATCTAACGAAATTCGAAGTGCTCTACTAGGATAACCTATAATTGCAACTATTTTGGTTGGGAAGGTGATTCAGGTATTTATAGGATAAACACATTAAATTATGTTTGCTGCAGTTACATATTATACTTAGTTGTCTACTTGTCTCCCTAAGAATTAAGATGACTTGTAATAACGTGACATTTAGTGGTTGCCGCAAATCGATTTTATGTTTAAGTATAAGTATGGACGGTCAGTGTAACAGTGTCGCATATATAATAGCATGTATCTTCGCTCTTCTCTTGTCCTCCTTTAACGGTTATACAATATTTTATAAGTTATGACCTTATGGGTATATCAATTCCGTTGGGATTTAGAAAACTCTAAATGTGACGGTAAATTGCTGAACAAAAATTTGGTTATGAAAGTTCTCTAAACAGTCTAAACGTTTATTTCGTTATTAATTTTCAATTATTTTAGGCTATGAATTTACACTTAGACATGCAATATCCGGCAATTTGAATGCACTTTTTTGTTTTTGCTATATATAAGGGTTGAGTAATATTATACGTCACGAGATGAACGGCCGTGGCGAAACGGCCCCAATTCCCAAGAACCAATACTGAATACAGTGATGCTGTGTTTCCGACTTGTACAAATCTAGGTCACGCGTTAAAAACACGTGATTCACGTTCATGACTACGCGCTAGTCGGTGTTGCAGAGAATGAAGTCGATATTAAAATAAATATTACGAGATGGGATTATATTTTCTATATAATTTATAAACTATCATTATATTTTCTTGATTTGGAGATGATGGGAAAAATTACCGAACCGGGAGAGGATTATGTTATAAACGTATTATGTGGTTGGTTCGTCGATTGACTTTGGAAAAATATTAAAGTTTTTTTTCATGAACCTGTTGTCCACAAACAGAGTTTTTGTGTAAATTTGACATTCTGAATACGACAAATATCATCTTTTAACAACAAAGAACAAAAGCTCAAAATATACCTATGACCTCGTTGCATCGCGTTGACGTTCTCCAACTTACTCTCCTATTACCCCTATGAAACTGGTTCTTCGTTGTCAGTGGTGTGTGTGAAACGCGTAAACCTACTGTGAAGTACCGCTGTAAAAGTATTTTATAAATATAATAATTGATTTCCGTACTGATACGAAGTATTTTCATAGTCTATAACTTATATCATTGTACAAAGGCCTCAAGAATTTTGTAACAATTAATCGATCTGTTTTTAATAATAAACACGGTTTTAAAAGACTAATTATTTCCCTTTGCGTATTTGTGATGACCAATATTATTTTTATTATTATTAAAACGCTTATTAATTTCGTATTACGGTATTATTCATTACAATATCATTTATATATTTTTATTTATGTTATTTATAAAAAATGTATAATCATTTAAAATTTACCAACTCACGTATAGTATGTTTATTTTATTTTCTAGATTTACATACATTTCGAACAACTCCATAAGGATATAATATGTTGGGCAGCAGTTTGCACCATCATCGGAACATGTCATTCCCTCATGGTGGTTAGTATACATATACATACCTATCTACACTTAACTTATCATTACGGATAGTATTATAATAGTATATAATATTCTAGTCTTCATGATAAACATATTGTTTAATCTGTTCAGTATTTCTGTGATCTAAGAAACACATATAGTAATAACTATTATAGACCATAGTATCTGTAGTAATAACTAATAATACGTTTTTAAAATTGTTTATTATTTTATTTTAGTAAGACCTTAAAAGTATTTTAAAGTTTTCCATTTAATATTTATTTAATAATAGTAAAAATCTTATTACAAGTTTTTTAGTTTTTACTTAGTACTTGATACTACTTACTGGGGTTGTATGCTACTGTCCAACTGTCCAAGGTTGAACAACGATTTGTTAGGTTAACTATTAATAGTTAGTGAATACAGCCCGCGTACTAATATCCATAGCACCGTGTGGACACACAATAAAATTAAATATAAAAAATATTAATGAAAAAATCATTATGTACGTCGAGAATCTACTGTATGTTTCCTAAACTTAAATTTGCGTAAAATGAATTCAAAATAATGAGCATATCTAGTGTTTAACTTTATTTTTCAATAAAATTACCAAATTACCAACAAATGATGGTTGAAATATTGTTATAATAATCCAAAGTGTTGATATGTGCCTTCAAACTAATTTTATTTATATTTGCTCGACAAGCAGAATTATTTGTTATAATTTTATGGTTAATTGATATCATTTTACAAAAAAAAATGTACTTAAGTACAATATTAATATATCGTACTATGTTTTATATCAATTGTTATTTTATTTAATCAATAGTAAAATTACATAAAAATGTTTATGATTAAAACTCCTTTTATATAGTTTTTAATTTGAATCTAATCTTTTTCACAATATTAAATATTGAATAGGTTTTAATTCGTTTTTAATTATGTACTCTACAATTGTTGATATTATGTTGTTAAATTTATATAAACGTATATCAATAAAATGTTTAAAACAAATGTATTGTTATTTTTGATTATAATATCATGTTTTAAGGGTTTCTGTATAGGCAATTTAAATTTAACTGTAAGAAAAATTTATATTATCTAGGAAATATAAGGTGTTCCAATACAGAAAAACATACATGCATAATATAAAATATGATGGAAACTTTGCATATACTTTTTATGGGTAGTGTAGAAATAAAATAGTATGTAGTGGCATTTTAATATTATTACTATTACATTTATCAAAATGTCTTTCAATCCAATGTTAATACACATTTCTATTGTTTTATTAACTGGGTTAACTACTATTGTAAGATTTAAAATCAATAGCTATCAACTTAATTTTTTTTTGTTTATTTCAACATATTTGAATTTCTTATTAGATTTTTATTGATTACTTTATGTACTAATATATGCACCTGTATAAATTATACTATTTTAAGTATTGTTATTGTTAAGTTTTTTTATTAATCATAATTATAATAAATATTTAGAAAACAAAACATTCTTATTATAAACTAAGTAGTTTCATTATATATTTTGTACATGTTTCAGGTTCTGTAATTCATAATAATATACCTCCTACCGTTAGTAAAAAAATGGGAGGTGGCCGACTGAATGCCGTAGTGAACAAACTCCATTTAGCAAAACAATGTTCAACAGATAATACTTTTCCAGACATGGTTTCTGAAGAAAGCCGATTATCTATATTACAAAATTTATTGAATCCTGCTCCATCATCAAATTCAGAAAAGAAAAACTTACGTGCTCCTCCAGCATTGTTTCCACTCACTTCTGAAGTAACAATCCAACGTTACCCTGTTGTTCATCCAATACACGATAGACCATTGGATGTTTTCCAAAGACTTAAACGTCTTGGAACAGATATTGAAATGGAAGAGATTGGAAATGAAACAACACTGAGTCTCATACCAGTTTCATCATCTCAAAGTGCTTCTGTTTCATGCATTCCAACAAATAGTTTCAAAACTAACTCCCCTGCTACCAGTCTCATAGTTCTGCCAAAAACCAATGTGTTCAATAATAGGAAAATACCAGAGCCTTCTGTTGTTCTTGAAATGAAAGTAACTCCAAAACAAAAAGCTCAAAATATATTTTTCAACGGGAAAACAGACCTAAAAAGTTATGTGTTTTCAATTGATCAATCACAAATAAGTATAACAAATAATGGACAAAAATTATACTCATGTAATGTATGTTCAGGCATATATCAACGGAGAGGTGCACTAAAAAAGCATTATTTAAAAGCACATATTAACTATCATTTTTTGACATCTCGTGACTTGCAAATAGCTGGTTTTAAAGGTGAAAGACTTGAAAAAATGGTAGATAAGTGGAAGAATACAAAAGGTCATGTTGGTTACTACCACTGCCATAAGTGTTGTATATCATATGGTACAGCTATAGATTTACGGCATCATGTGATGAATCATCCTCCTGCTTTACAATCTAATGCTTTGAAAAAAATACCTGATATTGTTACCAAAGTTTGTGAACTATGCTTATATTGTGATAAAAAAATTGAAAATGAAGAAGATCGGAAAAGCCATTTGTCCAAGATGCACCCTCCCAAAAGAAGATGTCACATATGTACGTACTGTCAACTAAACTTTTTTGATTTGTACACATTACACAAACATATGTGTACCTCTCATGAAGACATGTACTATGGCTGTGCAGAATGTAAAGAACGATTTATTTCTAGAGAGTTAGCTAAAAACCATAAAACCATTTGTTTGAATAACTTATGTATAAAACTAGAATCTGATAATAATGTGAAAAAAGAGCATTTGAAAGAAGAACCTCCAAAAATCGAAATAATAGAATTGAAAATAGATGAACCTGCAAATGTCAATATTAAAAATGAATTATCAGATGAGGAACCAAAAACAGAGGAGCTCAAGAAAAATGAAGAACCAAAAACAGAGGACTTCAAGAAAAACGAGGAACCAAAAATAGAGGAATTCAAGAAAAATGAAGAACCAATTAAAGAAGATCAAAAAAAGAAAGAAGAATCCAAAAGTTATCCATTTTACTGCCCAGACTGTAAAAAAGGATTTACTCAACAACCAAACTTAGCACGACACATGAGTTTAGGACATGGTAAAAAGTTGGAGTACAAAAAATCTAAAAAGTTATTACAGCCTTCTAATAAATTAATTTTGTCCAAAAAACTTGTGAAAACTCAAGAAAAAGAATTAAAAGACGAGATTCAAGATTTGTCAGCTAATGGAACTCAATATGTATTTTTGAATAATAAAAATGAGCTAGTCACAAAACAAGGAGTACCATTTGATATCTCTTACATGAATCTTGAGATTCAAACCAGAATCAGACGTATGGTACCTTCGTTGTATCCTAGTTCATCACCAATAGAAGATGATATGAGTTCATTAGAGGTTGATGCAGCTTCTTCGTATGGTTTTCCAAGTTCCCACGGTAAGTAAAAAAAGCTATATTTTTTTTGTAACTATAATTTTAAATTATTAAAAAAAATTGTTTCTTTTAAGTAGATGATGAAAGAAAAAAACTTGAAGGATTCAGTGGGGAATGGTTGTATCCACGTAGTTATATTTGTTCAGCGTGTCCAGCTACATGTTCCAATATTTGGGATATTTTCTACCATAAGTGGAATGTACATCCTAATGTACTTTGTCATCATTATGACATACCATTAGATCAGCTTCCATCTCAAAAATGGGTAATTTTATCTTTGAATTTTATAAAACATAATCATTAATTTAATTGTTAAATTTGAAGCGACCAGAAAGAAATTTGAGCAGAGTAGGGTTGTTGTCTGAATGTGAGGAACTACCAACTGGTTTGCCACAATGTACTAAGTGTGGGAAAATGGAAAATGATATTGCCCAACTTCATAGACATTTGTTAGATTGTGGTGGCGATACTGAGTGGCTCAAGACAATGGTTCATACAACCAAATCACCTAATAGCAAAAAGTCTAGGTAAGGTCTCTGTTATCTTACTTATCTATAACAATTTAATTTTGATATCTTATGTAATAGAAAAAATTGGCGGCCTTTTAATTTCCGAAGACGTAAGAATGGCAGGGCTAGACATGGTCTTAAACGAACTCCACCTACTCCGCCTTTACCAGTTGTAAAAACTAAACCTGGCGATGGTAATAACTCAATATTCTTTTACTGTTTTATTGTTTTACATTGTTTTATCTTATTTGTTCACAGCTGAAAGTGTCAGCCGCATGATTGCAGATTTACCTCCTAAAAGAGTTACAAGACGTTTAGTATTTGAGACTCCCAATGGAAATAATCAAGCAACAATAAATAGCGTAAGTAAAATGTTATCAATAATAGAAAAAAAATTATAGACTGTATCATTATGATGCTCAGAATTTTGTTGATTTTTCTAAATCTATTTGTAATTACATTTTTGGTAATGGTTAGTTACAATAATTTATAATATATACTTAAAAATTTACACGCTGCTCTGAAACACAAAGAAGTCTGTATGCTCAAAGGTATATTTAGACACAAAAATGTTGATAGTTAAAAATTGATTTATAATCACATGTTCTACATTTTTTAGGTTCCTATTGATATGAGCAGCCGTAATCCGACTGTTTCTTCAAGTTCAACCACATTATTTAATAAGAAAGTTATGAAACCATTGCCAGTTAAAACTGAAACTGCCATGCTTATTTCCGAAGCACCAGATTTCTTACGTAGTCTTAACATCATGCGTGCTCCACTGAAGTCAGCTGAACATTCACTTCCCAGTAGTAAGACAGAAACTGAAGAAATAATTGCCGCCATGAAGGAAACTTTAATGGCTTCTCCAGCACCCATCCCTGTTATTTTGCCTAAGAAACGTAAAAGACCTATTTATGACTTTAAGCAATTAGCTGAGAAAATTGCCAAGCATGACCATAATGAAATTCTCGATTCAAAAGTCGAAGAAGATAATGACAACATAGAAGAGTCTATTCCTATTCCTGTTGTAGTAAAAAATAAAGGCAAAAAATTGATGAATGAAATAGAGGTTGGATTGATAAAACAAAATAGGCTGCGAAGGAAAAGAGAAATTCCACCTGTTCCTGAAAAGTTAGCTCCAGTTCCATCGAAAAGAGCTAAAATTGAAAATAGCACAAAGAGTATAGTTGAGTCTATTCCAATTAGTAAATCCAAAAAACAGGCTTTATCAAAGAAAACAACAAAAGTCCTCGAAAAGAAAACCATTGATGATAATTTTGTTTCTAAAATACAAACCCGTAATAGGAAGAAAAATTTCATTGAGGAGTCTTTGTCCAATGAGGTATTACCTTCTTGTAAAGATGATTCTTTAGCAAATAATAATGAATCGTCTAGTTTTGTTGACTTTGAGTCTAGTCAAGAAGTCTCTTCATCTGAAGTTCCTCCAAAGCAAAAAACAGTTAAAGTGAATCCTTTTAAACCAAAAGCTAGAAACAGAAGAAAACCAGGGGTTTTTTTTGGATCAAGAAAACGAAAGCGTAACTTAAAGACTGATAATAAAAAACAACAGCCTACATCAAGTAAAGTTGATGACGCACCATTATTATTACCAAAGTTAGAGTATTCTGATTCAACAAATCTAATAGTTTCAAACCTAATTGATAAAGTTTTACCTCAAGAAATTATCAAAACTGATAATACCGTACAAAGTGCACCTCAGGAATTAAAAAAACCTATTGAAAATGAATCCTTAATGGCAAATGTTAAAGAAGAAAATAAAGCCACAGCTCCAATTAGTGCTGATACGACAGAGTCAAAAGAACCTGAAGAAGTAGCAGAACCACGTTGGCATTCACAGTCTGATGCTTTTTTTGACTTACCTTCCGCTATTAGTTTGGGATCAATATTGAGTTCAGTTAATCAGGCTAGTTAATTTTGATTAAATATAAATATTTTTGTATTATATTTGCTAATTGTATTATTATTTAAATAGATATTGGAAGGTCCTGACTGTAATGTTGCGAGTACAGAAGTAAATGATTATTCATGGACAGAGTTACAACGTGCAATGGGGGCCACTGATGAAGAAATGGCTATATTGCAAAATTTTGGTTCAAACTCATCTGAAGAAGGTCAAAATGTGACTAGTGAAAATTGTTTAGATCTATTAGACATGGACGGTGGAGAGGACACCAATATCAATCAAGTAAATACATTGTTTTTGTGTATTTTATATGAATTAAATAGAGTAACTAGTACAATTATTTATTATTGCAGGAACAAACAGATACTCAAAACAATAGTGAATTAAATTTCAAATGCAAAGTATGTGATCAATGTTATAAAGGTGTTGCAGCATTTCGTATTCACTCACTTGATGTCCATAATATTGAAGATCCAGAATTGGGTGAGTCAAAGATATTTTAAAATAAATAGTGATTGGTTAATGTAAATTAAAATAATTTGGTGCCAACATAGAGTACTTATTTAGTTCCTACCAAAACAAATAATGAATAAAATGTAGAATAAGAGTTCTTGTTATGTAGATAAAATAAAATCCTTGGATAAATATAATAACAATTTTCCAACATCAGTCAGAATTTATTTTGACACCATTTGGCATTTTACACAATGTACAATTTATAAGCTATATAGTAATAACTAGTGTAACAGTGTGTGGAATGGAGTACTTAAAGTTTACAATCATAAATACATTAAGTGAAGGAATATATTAAATGTTATTAAAATAAGGTTTCTAAAATAATTTACTATACTGGCAAAGCATTCTGTGTATAGAGTGATTGTTACCATAGGAGATTGGATGTGATGAAACATAGAAAAGTGAGTGGGTCTTTGTTGGATAGGCTGGGACACATAGTGAGATTGATACAGTATTATAATGTAATTCTTATGTATAGGGTATATTTTGTTTATACTTTTGTACCAACTTTTATACACTTAAAAAGGATTTATATTAATTTTAACTATTATAGTTATTAGTTATAATCTATGTAAATGAACTTAGAAAAAATTGAATACATTTTTATATACTTGTTTTATAAAATATTAAATTGTTTTTTAATCATGTCTTTATTTGGATGAGAAAAAAATTGTAAGTTAATGTATAAAAAAGTGATCTTAATGTTTCCAATAGTTATGAATCATTGTTTATCATTGTTTAATGTATATATTAAATTACTACAATATTATTGGAAAAATTAAGAATTTATTAACATTTTAAAAATTAGTTACATTTAAACTGTGAATGGTATTTTTTACAAATATTTTTATTTTTTAGTTAATGTAATTAAATCTGATTACCTACTCGTGTGTTGGGTTTGCAAGCTCATAATGGAAGGAGGAGCAGAAGAACTCGACGAGCACATGGCAAAAGACCATGAATTTGATGATGCTCCAAATAGGTATGTATATATATATTTCTGGCTTGTGGAAAAAAAAACAATTAATCAAAAAAAAATCTGTATAAATTAGTGAAAATGGAAAGGAGTTGAAAAATAAAATGGTTAGCAAGTTGGGTGAAATATTGGACCAAGCCTTGAAAAATCTGATTTCTTCTACACAAAAACCGTAATAACATAAACTTATTTTGTAAAGTTATAATATGCCAATTTCCAAACATTACATTTTGAACCATTTAATTTCAGTTGTGCTGGCAAAACCTGGAGTGGTGGTGCAATAACTTTGTTGGGAAAACTTTGCGCTCTACGCAACAACGAGAAGGGCACAACTGTATCAAGTAGTGTTGCCAACTCTGCTCTTGCTAAAGATTTGCGCAAAGTAATTGGACGTAACAACAATGGGTCTAGTGCCAGAGCTCAATCTAGAAGATCAAATACGGCTCACGCTCTCCAACTAAATGCACGTTTGGCGGCGTTGTCGGTGGCTGCCAAACGGCTAACACCTTTGGTTCGTGCCGACTGTTCGTCCAACATTTACAAGTGTCCGATTTGTGACATTGGGTAAGCACTGGAAATGTTGAAAACACGGTAATCATAATTAATTGGACTATATTCTTAGGTTTGAAACTACGAGTACTAGAAATAAGCACATCAGTCGAGCGCACAATAGCCCACAGAAATCAAACCACGTGGAGACAGCTGTTCAGCGTAAGTTATTGTCTGAAAATTCCCAACATTTTATTACCAGGCGCGTTGTATAGGCAATTTCACTACATCTATACGCATTGTTTTCGATGTATTCTTATCCGCGCGGAGTATGTCACTTGTAATTATTGAAAACTGACATTTTTGATTTGTTCACTAAATCCGCTCTCCTAACAGTAATTTCTAACAATACCCAAGGTATAAATGCAGTTTAGCTACCAAGCGACGTTTGGGATTTTTTTTTCGGAAACTTATGTATTTCAACGAGTTAAGAACAATGATGTGATCAGAATTTGTCAGACGAACTGTTTCAAAATTATACTTAATTAGTTGATAACCTTTTGAAGTTTACAATTTTTCGTATTTTACGTATGCACAGATTATTCCACAAATTTTCATAGAAATGTAAATTTAAAACTTTATAGTATGTTATTATAACACTTTAGTCCCTATAAATATACCTTATCATTTATAAGGGTGAACTATATCACTTTATTCCCACTTTTCGCTCATCAGGTTTTTTTTTGTTAATTATTTTATTAACAATAACATAAACATTAAGTAGGATAGGTGATTTTTGATTCCACCAATATGATGATGATGTTATTTGCGGTAATACAAACTTGAAAATACGATTTTAAAGTTTTTTGACCATAACTTCCAAAGAGTTTCAACCTGCTTTTTTGAAAACCATCATATTAAGCATGGAAAAACACATTTTGAAAAAAAAAATCGTTAGGGATTAACTGAATTAATTCTATATTCTGCACCAGTGTCTCGTAATTTTATTATTTCAATGCTATTTTCTCTTCTATCTGCTATTCTGACCTTAAGTATTTTAATGATAAAATATTTTATCTTACAGTCGATTCGACTCTACCGTCATTGCAGACAACTGTACTGGAAGAAACGCCCGAACCTTCTGACAATGTGCAGCCCATGTTTGCACTGGGTACAATGAACCGTAGGGGACTAAAAAAGTTTAATAGCACTTGCAGCGAAGAAGTGCGGGCGCGTGCGAAGCAAGCATTGCGTGACCTAGAAATTAAGTCCAGATTGAAACATTACACATTTTCTGGTGACCATCAGCCCTCGCCCAATTGATTTGACGTTTGTCACTGCCTTTCTGGTCACCTTGTATGATAATATTTCCATGTTAACGGATTGCCAAACTGTGTTCAATTCACCCGTAACTTGTTTATTTCATTTCTTATCAAGTATAACTAATAATATAATATATATAAAGGTATTATATATTTTTAATTTTTTTTGTAAATAATTGATATTACAGGTAATGACTACTTGTTAATTATGTTCATTAAAATATTCCCTATAAAGACATTTTTTTTTTGTTTTGTTGTTTTTATTCTAAGGTTTTTTTTATTTTTACCTAAATGCTTATCATTTTTTTAGGCAACTTTAGACTGAATAGCGTTGTTCATTTTTATCATGATTTAACAAAGCAAAAATTATTATACCTTATGAGCTTAAAAAAAACTATTTTAACTCCATGAATAGAATTCTTTTTCCTTTATTTAACTTCTAATTTATTTATTATTTCTTTAGTGATAATTATGTATTATACTTAATCTATAACTACAAATTGTGTAACTGATGTGCCTTTGTATTATATAAATAATATTTTTATTTACACATTTTGTTGTAACATATCATTTTACAAAGTCACTTTAACTTGTCAAGGATAGAACAAGATTTTCATCTGTCACCTTCCACTTATGGCTTTTGTATTTTAGTATAATAATTTTGATGTATAATTGGGTAACTATGTTATGTGTAATTATTATTTTATTAATAATGAATAGTTAATACTAAAAATAAAAAAATTGTTATTGTCTAGACAAATATCATTAATAAAAAACAAACAAGTTTGTACTAGATTTGAAATATATTATGTAAAAACTGTTTGACAATATATTTTTTTTCCCAATCACAATTGTTATTACCGAAGTCAAACTAAACAAAAAATAATAAATAGATCACAGTTATTTTAAGTGAATGTTTATACACTATATCCCATTTTAAGATGTCATTGCACATTAGCTGATTTTTGATTGGTTGACAATCACTTACATAAAATAACATACAAAAAAGTATACACACATAGTATATTGAAGTGCATACAAATATTGTACATGTACTTAACAATAATTATAAATTAATTTTTAACTAATTTCGGCTTAATATAGGAGGGTTTTTGTGTAGTTTATCGATAAGGCCACTAAAATTTGGAAAAATCAACAAGAAACATGAACTAATCAAAACATAAGCCAAACGTTTGTTAAGGGTTTTGTGCTGGAGCATTACAACGGCTAAATAAATTCCACGTCGTGTGACGTCGCTCCCCATTAAATGCTTCAATTCATCTAAATATATGTATAAAAAAAATATAAGTACATTTAGTCAATATTGTTAGGTACTGATTTACCAGAAACAGAAGACATAAGTGCACATTTAGCAGCCACAAGTGTTCTAAGCTGTACTTCTGCGTCTCGAAATTGTACTTCTGTAGCACGTACACCATCTGGCCATAATGAATTTCTACAGAGAATGTTGGAATGGTCATTGAAAAAGTATTTTGTACATTAAGAAATGAATAGTTAGAACAATACTTGATCGCAGCAATCAATAATGACACCCTATAAGGATCAGTGACAGTTGCCACATACTCTTTGAACCTCCTGTTAACTACATGACCGAATGAAGCCCGAATAATATGTTGTAGCAGCATGACAAATCGTTTCCGAAGCCATTGTTGTTGTTCGTCTACTTCGAACACCTCAGTTAATAACAGCAACACTGCACGCATGGGCATATTATCATCATCCTACCGACAAATTTAAAATAAACAAATAGAAATATTAAATGTGTTAATGTTTCTTAGTTTCGGAGCAATGAATGTATTGTATTTACAATGATGAATCTACTTTGTTATGTAAGTGTACAAATTTTGAAATAGAAAGACTGATTCTATATTCAAATTTGAGGATGGTTTCTTGTAGTGAATTGGATCTAGCTGGTACTTTTAGATCACAGTTGAAAATTCTCAGTACATAAACAGGAGTACTTAATTAAATTGTAAAATTAACATTCATCATGAATCTAATGATGTCTTGTTCCTCTCAGAATCTAATAAGATACCAAGAAATATTATACTTAGGATATAGGCTGATAGACCGTTATTGCTCAGAATTGATTTTTGTCTACAATGGTATATCATTGAATTCAAATTTAACACATCCATTTAAGTATCCCATCTACTGTAGAGCAGTACCCACTTGCCTTTATTTTTGTTACTTACTTCCTCAACCAACATTCTATTAACAGGTTTGGATGGACCAAGTACTTTGCTGATGTTGTCCATAACGCCATCAACAGTGTTAAATATATTATCAGGCACAGTTTTCACAACATTTCCAACAACCTTCAACGGGTTGAACAAGAGATTATCGACAGTCTTGACAAGATGACCAGATAACAGTGCTTTTTTGTCTTCAGGTCTTTGTTCGAGGAACTGTTCAACCATTGTTTGTATCCCAGGATAATTAGCAACAGTTGATGATTTCAATAGATTATGTATGAACTGATTGAGCATCATCATACGCTTTTCTAAAACTCGCCTGTCCGCATTATGAAATGTTTTTTTGGCTGGGAATGAAAGTTTGCCTAGTTCTGAATACTATAAAAATAACTTAAATTATTATGAATTTCTAATAATTATTTGTTCACAATATTACCTTGTCTTTTACTCTTTGGTAGAGATCATAAAAATCAGAATATCGTTTATAAACATGCCAGTTCTCTTCTTTTCCAGACATATAAACTCTAGTAATGGAAACAGCATAAACGCCAAATGTCTTGCCACCCTCATGCACAAGTCCTAAAATAGTGATGTGGTTATCTTTAAGTGTATAAAGTTATTATTTTAATACTAACCAGTTTCAATTATGTCTGCTGACAATATGGACTTGTCATATTCTGATTGACCAGGGCTTAAGGCTTTACTACCCGAAAGGAAATCGCTTACTTTATCTGACAAACAAATAATGCCATAAATAATGCTATAGAATAAACAAGACATAACTTAACTTACCACCAGTTCCTTTGAAAAGTTGCTGCACGGCATCCATTGGTATTAAAAAATCAGAAGCCGGCATAGCTAATTCTGGTTCAAAAATGTCTTCTGAACCAAATGATTTCATTTCCAAATCAGTTATCAACCTTGAACAACATTCATGCTTACCGAAACCAGATATAATTCCTTTTTCAGGCTAATTAAAAATTTAAATGTTGTAAATATTTTAATTTGTTTAACATGGAATTACTTATAATCAAGTTTTTAAAATAAATAACTACCATTACTTATGCTATTATTACTTAAAATATGCTTTCAAGTTCAAATACAAGATGTAAAATTTTTTATACAACTTAATATTTTTAATTTTTATTTGCAAATACCTTTAATAGTGTCTTGTACAATGCATTTTGAACCTCATCAAACCATGTTTCATCTACTGAATCAAATTGAATTTTCTTTGCTAAAGATTTAACTAGATCATCTCCAAGTTCATTGTGAATATCGGGCTAATTAATGAATACATAAAGATATTTTTACTATTGCTAAAATTATAAAATTACAATTGATCTGAATTTTACTTTTTGACCAATGTACAAGGAGTACAATTTTTTTGCTTCGTCTCTAATATGATCCACTGTTGCTAGATCAGATGATGAATATTGACTAGGATCTCCACTAACATTTTGCATCTGCTCATGTACAAATTGTTTCCAACCTAATATTGTAAAACATTTTACTTCAATTCAATAGCATGACATACACAATATACACTAAGAGCTCACCATCAATATTAATATAAAATGAAATAAAACTATCACAATTTATTGTAGTCAAATAATCAATGAAGTATGGCAAAGCCGTTTTACTTTCAAGAATCCACTTTAAAGATAATGAATCATTCTTTGGAGAGGACATGGAATGTTCAAATGACAATAAAAAATCTAAAAATAATAATGAAATCAATTTAAGGTAAGCCTTATTCACAAAGTTGTAGGTATACAAATATATTTTAACAATATAAGCAAAAATTTTACCTAAGGATCTGTCGGATTGTTGAGGAATACTATTAACAATTGACTTAATTAAATCAGATAAAAACAAAAGACTGCTCAATTGTTGTTTTGCCCGGCTATCTGATTCACCAGAATCTCTTGACCGCTAAAGTATTCGTAATGTTTAATAATAAGGTAATAATAACACTATTATTATAGCATACCAGATTCATAATTTCTTTTTTGACTAAACTGTGCACAGCATTTAATTGTTGATTTGATTTAGTTGACCTCAATACTGTAAGAAATGTCTCATTAGTTACTGGATAGTCGCTGCACTAATAGTATAACAAAAATATGCAACATTAAATCTTCAATGAATATAAATTAAAATTAATTATCAGTTATTTACCAGCCATATAATTAATTGATTAACATAATCTGGATTACTAAGCATATTTATAGTTGTTAAAAATAGTTTATTTGATATTATTTCACGTATCAATATGCGTATAGTTCGACATTTGAAATCATTTTCAGGAGTAACATGATATATTAATGCTTCCGATATATCCCTAAGCCATTCTGTAATATTAATATAACAAATTAGAAAACTGTAAATAAGATATTTTTATGAATGAATGTTTCTCTCTATTACTTTTTTCATAATTTTCATCCAAGCACACATTTGCATGTGAAGTACCTAATCGATCAACATCTTGTTCATGTTGGAAAAATATTGTTTCAAAATCAACTTCTTCAAAATTCTTTGTGGATGTAGCTTTCAATGACTTTCTATAAATACGAATATGTTTGGCCACTTCTTCAGACAAGTTTGTGCACACAAATTGCAGAAAATCAACCTGTTGTAATCGTTTGGCCATACAACTGATCAAATAACTAGTTGACTTATGTATTTGAATAGGAAAATCTTCATCGTCGCTCAATTTATCATACCTTGAACCAATAATAGTATTAATGACTGAGTAGATTTATTTAGTAGACAAGTCGAATCAAACCCAAAAACCAAAATTCATAACTAAAAAGAATGTATTTTTACCATGGATACACATAATCCCTTAAAATGTAATCCATAATGTCCGACAGCTGGTGATCTATATACTCTGAACCACTCAAGTTTACATCGTCTTCATTTATTTCTTTTGTAAAAATCTTAAATATATAATAAACATTGCGTTAAAAAATTGAAAACGTGCAATTAACTATGGAAAAATTTACAGATTTAGTATCGAACAGACTGTAGACCGTGTACTCTAAGTCTCTTTTCAACGATTCTGTGTACAGAGCCGCTTCTTCTTCGACGGCAATGTAAGCAAAACATATCACACTAAACAGAAAATCAATTTAAAAACTATACATTGATCGCTACGTATTCGAATTTACCTCAAAAAAAATGCCAAGAGTACGGAAACGACGATGGTGGTCAACCACAGACCAAAAGTCGTCACGCAAAGCACAAACAACATCAATACCCAACAGATCATGGTCGTCGACCTTTATCTCGTCTACGCGAAGCACAGTTGGCAGTTGGCGGTGATCATGCCGTATGGATCACCAGATCGGATGACGATTTAATGACAGTGACGACTGTAGCACGACAGTAAATCAAAAATTCAAGTAGGCCATGTACGTAAGTGATCAATAGCTGCATTTTATTCGTTCATTTCGACGTTCGTGAAGGCCGATATTCAAACCTACATTACCTACATTATTCGTATATGGAATTGTCTGATGAAAATTCTCATACTCATACGCGAACAGACGAATATCATTCTGAAATCTGAATTCCCAATCCAACACTACGATTAACGAGTAACGTAACGACCGAGGACAGCCGCGGGCCCACACTCCACAGCCGGGCGCAGCCAACAGCCATAGAAATAGATAAGAAGCCCGCGAATATCTGTTCGAAAGGAGTACCAACTACCAGTCACGAAGCAGCTGCGGCCATGAGCATAAACATCATAGACTTTAGACATATAATAAATAAACATAAAATGAATGGCATATTTATATTATGACTATGATGAACATTCTCTTATGTATATGTTCACCATAGCTGTGTTCGTGTTGGCTTTAACTCGTTTTATGGGTGGAACATGCAATGAATATTGAATAATGACCACCGTGAACTAAGAATACCTTAATATCTTTTTTTTTTTTTAATTTTAATTTGCATTTTATTTTAAAATAATTATAGCAAAGCGATTACAAAAAAAAACCTTAATATCTTATTTAGGTAATTTCTCAGTTACAAAACATAGGCTACAACCACAGATATATAAAAATACTAAAAATAATTTGTATATTTCTAAGCCTCGTAATGATGACCATCCATTGTAAATACCTACTAATTTTAGATCCACATTATCGTATAGTCCATCTCGCCCATGTAAACAATTTGAAGTTCACCATGGACTAAGATAATAATAATAATAATTTATTATATAATATTATTATCTTAGTCCGTGAAGAATGAAAGCGAAAAGTTGCTGATAGGTTGCCAACCAACTACCAAGCAGGTTAGAAATGTATTGATAAATTATTTTGGTTTTTGGAAAGCATCTGACTTCTGAGTAACAGGAATATGGTCAAAGTTTATACTTGTACACCTTCGTATAAAAATAAATGTGCTAAAAAAGTTTTAATGAAGTTCGTTTTTGTTTTTTAATGATGCTTCCGCCTTCCAATAAATTGGTAGTATCAATTGACATATTTTGGTATATTCTAACAGCCATATTTATAAATTGCGATTTGATAATTGATCATTGTACTAATGGCCATTATTATAATATGTTCTCCATGAAAAAAATGTACGTGGGAGATCAATAACGATTTGGAACCGAAAATAAAAAATACCACAAGCACAAAAGAGAAATTCAACCAAATTTATTAATGCGTATGTAAAAGCATAATTTTGTTTTTTAAAATGTCAAATTAAATAAATAATAAATCAATAAACCCGTGTATGGAATTGTAAAAATGTATAAAAATTGTTGAATGATCAAAGTTCTATAAGTGTTGTAGAAATAAAAGCCCTTTTTTCATTATTTGATCATTATAAAGTAAATATTGTCTTTAAATATATTATCTTAATAAGTAAAAACTAACATAGTTTTCTTGTTTATAAGTTACAACTATACATTTATGATCCATAAACGTTGAAAACACAAGTTCCTCATAAAGTGTTAGTAGTGAAATTAAAAAAAAATTGATCATAAATCCACATTAATTTTTTTATGATCTTTTGAAGTTAGAATCTTGATAAAGTTCATAAAAATCGCCAAAATGTGCCAACTATTTAGTATTTTTCAGTTAGAAATTCATTATAAACATGTATTTTCAGAGCTAACATTTGAAAATTTAACAAGATGATTGAAGATTCCTTATAAGGATTAAACCATTTAAACCTTTAACAAAAAAAAAGTTTACCCGAAAGTAAAATTAATTTTACAAAATCGATTTTTGATATTTTGTGACAATTTAAAAACAAATATATACCTACCTATTAATATATGATTATATTACATTCATAATAAAATTTAAAAAAAAAGGTTTAAACTCTTTTTGAGATCTACAGACATTTGAAAAATGAAAATTCCTCTTGACCATAATTGTCTTTTGTTTATGATACACAATTAGGTAAGTCCTCATCATTTATTGGACAAGTGCTTATCACTCTAGGATTCTATAAATAATAATAGACCACATTGGCGTAGTTCTCGATTAAAGATTTATCGTATGACTTAGTCACGGTCAGCATATTTTCTGATAGGATAGTGAATCTAGTTGATACTTTAGGGGGAGTCAATATTGAAAAATTCCCAATAGTTTTCGTCGGGAAAACAACACTAAGGAAAACAGAGATTTTTAAGCAAAACTAGGGTTTTAAAAATCGATATTGTTATTTGGTATAGCTCTAAAAATAAAACCTAGGTAGATATTTACACGAAAATTTCACCAAATGTATGTACATAAACAATGCTGTAATTTTGCAGCATTTTCCGTCCACAACAGTTTTCAAAATATTTTGACTCTTTCACAGCTATTTATCGGCATAAGAAAATGTCGATGTTTATTATTGTTTTTTTTTTCAAACTATTGTCAATACAAATTTTTTTGCTCTGTCAAAATACTTGACAATTGAGTAGAAGGTTTCTCATAAGTTGTTGTTAGTGGAAATTTAAAAAGAGTAGAACGTAAATTCACAACATTATTTATGAGCATTTGAAGTTAAAAATTAAAATGTTGACAAAACTCACAAATTCACGAATCACATGATAACTAGGTAGAAATGTTTCGACTCCTTTTGAGTTTTGGGTTATTTATAGTCAATTAAAATTTTTTAGTTTTTAGTATACATCGATACAATTTATCGTAAGGTCAAAAAGCTTTACAATTTAATACAAGGTTTCTCACACGTTGTTTACTAGCAAGTTTAAAAATATTAAAATTACCTAGGCACGTTTTTTTTTAATGAGCATTTTTTAAGTTCAAATTTTTGAATTGAAAATTTTGCAAATTATTCAACACACCCGTAGTTTAAGTAGAGTACCTAAACAATACTGACAGACAATAATTATCGTTAACTTTTAAGTTCAACCTACTCTCGTTAACTCCGCGAAAACATATTTTATGTATGTGTCCCGTGCAGGGGCATACGCAGGAATTTTTCAAAGGGGGGTCCAAATTTTTTAACATGTAAAAATATTATACAGTCAGTGGTTTACACCTTATACATTTTAAATTATGTCAATCCAAGGGGGGACCTAACCTTAGGGAGGACCCCCCCCTCTTGGGTACGCCACTGGTCCCGTGTATGTGTAAAAAATGATTAATTTTAATTTATGCCTATGAAAACACACTACGAACAATAATCTATGAATACTGAATAATATTGATATGATTGCATCACAAATTACAAAATAGAAAAATAATAGAATACAATTTACATTATAATTTACGATGAACATCGAACCCACTTTATCATCAGTGCCATAAATCATAATCGTAAAAATGTGTTAAATATTAATTATGCAATTGCCAATAATACGGATTAAGATATACATAATATTATTTGGCCTATAGACATAATGTATTTTGTCTATGATTTGGCCAATATTGTTCTGTGACATTATTATCAATAATTATGCGGCAGCTGAGTAAGTAATTAAAGTAAGTTGTCCACGACAACTGTCTATATACAATCAAATTACTGATAACCTCCAGGGGCTCCGACTGATGATCTAGAATGTCTTTGATACATGACGTTCGTTATCGTTAAATTGCCCTTATCATTTTACGGTTTTTTATTTTTGCTTTTTGGTTCCAAATCAACTATAAAGTATAAACGTCATTACTCATTATTTATTACTACCTACTCATAAGTTTTTTCGTTATCCACTTGTTCTCAGTGCTTTACCGCTGTTGGTCGTCTGGCTTTTTTGTCAATCGTTGTTTGTTAAGGCATTAGTCATATTACGGTTGGCGGTTGCGATATGACTATATTTATAGCAACAGACTGACGACTGTCGTAGTGCCTAGACGTGCTCAGTTCTCACAGGCTGCAGCCTTAACATAGAAAACTAATAAAATCCTTAGACCTACGTTCAATGTCAAGAAGGTGTATTTGGTGGAATACTTAATCGCCAAAGATGGGCAGCATACTCGCGCGATTTAAAGTAAGTCTTGAAAATATTTAACTGGCTTTATATTACAGAACACATTAAGTACACAATACTTAAAAATACTTAAATACAATACTCTTTTCTGCTTCTGAACCAACTTAATTGTAATATGTACTTAGGCATTGTAATAAAATTATTCTAAATAATAATTTCATCTATGCAAAGCAAAGTATAAAATATACAAAGTTAAGTATTTGATTTTTTGCCACAGGTGTTTCTTCTTTCTTCAATTCAATTGATACTTGCACAATTTTTTTTTTTATAAGCAACTCATAAATTGTAGTAAAAAACATACTTTGATCTACTTTATTGATAATTAATTATGATGATTTGTTACTACTTCTGTGATGAATAAGTAGTGGATATGACAATCAAAACACCATATATTACACCATTATATAACACCACTAACTTGGTACCTATTCATTATTTTTTGAATGATTTACCTATAGTTCTTGTTTGTAGCTGATATAATAAATGATTAAATATGAATCGTTGGGATCATTTTTTATACCTTTTACTTACGTATGTTTTACACATATATTTTTACATAAAATAAAATACAGAAGTTATAGCACTATATTTATGTTTAATAAGTGTTTTTGTTTGTTGTAGAAAAAAAAAGATACAAAAGCAGTTTTGGAATCCTTAGAAGATGTAAGTTAAATATTATAATAATTTGTGCAATTTAATACTAAAAATGAGCATCAGTATGTTTATTTAATATTTACACTTTAAAATATTGTTACAGGAAATTATGTACATCGAAAATATGACTTCAAATACTTCACCAATAAATTATTATAAAATAGTGTTCCATTCAGCTCTTATGTATGGATTTATTTGTATACTTTATTACTTTGGTATAATTCCTTATGAATTGTTTAAAAATAACTATATCATGGCTGTTTTTGCAGCATACCCAATCATGTAAGATTTTATTTCAATAATTTAAATATGTGGTAGGTTCTAATATCAATTATTATTTCAGAGCTCTATACTATTATAAATTTGATGTTTGGTATTATAATCGAAAAATAGTAACATATAAAAAAAAATTAATAGAATTAAAATCTGTAAAGAAAAAACTACTTGATGAGGTAATGGAAAAAGAAACATTTAAAGTAGCAAAAGAAATTTTAGAAAAATATGCTCCACATCAACTTCAATCCATGACTTCTCAAAACTTTGTAAGTATATCTGAATTGTATTTTATTCATATTCATTATGTTAGATAGTATTTTGGATTTAGATGAACCAAAGAGCACTTCCATCTGCAAGCAATAGGCCACCCTATGCTTCTTCTGGTAGGCCACTGGTTAGGGCACCGAATATGGGTCAACCACCATCAATAATGCCGTCAGCAGTTAAGCCAAGTGAGAATTATTTAATTGTACTGTTACATATTTTTGAATTATTAAATAAAAACCATCTTACTCAGGGTTAACTCTTCCAAGACCAGTACTTTCAAGGGACCGTACAATATTTGATCGTTTAGCTGATAAAGTTCTTGGCGATGGACCTCAAAATCGATATGCATTAATTTGTAGAACATGTGGTTCTCATAATGGAATGGCTCGGAAAGAAGAATTCGACTTCTTAGGTATGAATAATAAACTTCATAAATTATACTTATTACTAAAACAGAATTTTACATGTTTATTCTATTACAAACATTTTACTGTTAACATTAGTTCCACGTATTATAATTGTGTATATGTGTACCTATATATAAAGTATGTTAATATTTTCATTGGTCTTTGCATGGAAATACATTATTCATTAAATAGATACTTATTTGAATTTGATTGAAAAAAAATATTAAATTCTATGTACATCTGGCGACTGGCACTTAATGATACCGTAATAGTTTGTTTACATGCATTGTGTTTAGTTCTATTTAAGTTTTCTTTTCATTATATAAACTCAAATGTATTTGTGTTCATTATTACTTAGTAGTAAGTCAAATAGTTATTAAGAAAATAATATTATGAATCTTATGTTGAATAATGTTTGATTTTAGCATACAGATGTGCATATTGTTCTCAGTGGAATCCATCTCTTAAGCCTAGACCTCAATTAGCAATTAGTTATGACAACAGTGCATTAACGCAAAACGGACGTGTTGCATCTACTGAAACTATTGAAGAAATAACTGATGAAATATCAAAAAGTGATTCAGACACAAATGAGAGTGAGCATTCTGAGCATCAACACAAAGATTTAATAATTAGTAAGACTTAATATATATTTATATTATATTATATATTATTCTATTATGTTTTTTAAAACATATATAATATTTTGCTGATTTAGATGATTCGGGTCCCACAATTGAAGAGTTGGTGGATCCACCATCATCATCATCACATAATTCAAATTCTAAAACTGAAGACCAAGTAGAATTAAAAGGTAAATTGTTATGTAAATAAATAGTTAATTAAAGAAGATGTAACTCCCGCATGTACAACTCAATAGTTTTGTAATACAATTGAAACTTTTGAACTTAAATATTAGTATGTTATGACAAAGCAGTGTTAGCACTGAGTGTGTCTGAGACAAAAACAATACATTATGTGGGTAAAGTCTCCACTTTAGTCTGAGGTTCTTATTCTATAAATCCATTTTAAGTAGATGGTTTTTCCTTTTAATTATTATTTTATTAAATGTTTTAGATAACTCTGCATCATTAGCTGAAGAATCATTATAGCGGCACTCACAATAAAATAAAACCAACCATTGTGGGTAGGGGGGTAATAAAATGGTGTTATAATTAATTTAATTTTTTGTTGTTGTTATAAATTTAATGTTTAACAGAGGTTGCAATTAACTCCATTATAATATGGGAATATTTATAAATACATATTCATAACTAATTCTCTAATTTAACATTTGTTCACAACTTAATAATGTATACAGGGTATTTTAATATTATATTTGTATTATATAATCAATCATAAATTAAAATGTTTTTTAAACAACAATGTATTATAGAAGTATTTATTAATACTTTGCTTTTAAGGAAATGTATATGTATTCTGTGACAGAATTTATATCTCCTGGTTGATGTAATACACATGTTTATTTTTTTATTACCGACTGATAAATATAAATATATTGGTTAATGCTGAATGTTGTACGAGTTAATATGTAATTTAATTCAATAAATTGTTTGAAGTATCCAAATAATTAGCTACAACATAAACTTTTAGTACCCGGTGTGTTGACCATTGAGACTATTTACGACTGTTGCTCAGTATGTTTATCAAACAAATTATGCTGTTACTTCCAATAATTAAGGTTTTGTTAATAATTTCAGTATCCTGGAATTTTAGTAATTAAAAAAACCTGGTCAGTAGGTAACGCTCTGCTATGCATAGGTCTCAAAAGAAATACAAAATAAGAAAGAATTACAAAAAATGATTCTGAGCAAAAATGGTCTTGTCAGCCTATAATGTCACTAAATAGAAGTATATTTGTGATATTATTGTGATTAAGGTAATATGTTTTACTATTGGGCACTAGTATTACAGTAGGTAAGATTAATTTTTGCCAAAAAAATTACACTAAAAATGTCATCATGTGTATAAAATATGATAGATTTTAAAGGTTTCAAGTACTCAAGAATAGTATTTTTAAGTTACAATTAAATAACTGAAATCGTTATTCTTTGTTTTAATATGTAATTTCGTTCAAATTTGAACTTAAAATAACTTAAAATAAAAACTATGTTTAAATATTTTTTAGTTACAGTATTTACTTACATGGAATCTTGTTTTTATTTTTAAAGCCTTAGATATAAAAACTGAACATACATTTTAAATTATAAAATAATTTGTAAATTTTGTGAACATTTAAACATTAAATGCTTATAAAAAAAATTTGCATTTGTATTCAGTTTTTAAGATTTTTAACCTAACAAATACAATTTTTATCAAAATATTAATATTTAAAAAAAAATTGAAAATGTCCATAGCTTAAATGACATCGGATTTTGAAAATGTTACCAAGTAAAAAAAACTTTAAAATCAACATTTGGTGTAGAAATGATCATGGATTTACCCTAAACTTTTTTTAATATCTACTAACAAGCTTTAAGAAACTTTATATTACATTTTCAAATTTTTTGACTGAACAAAAAATTTGTATTGAGGTTAATTTTCAAAAAACTAATACCAATCTAAAATGTCGTCTGTGTATAAGTACATCAACATGAGTTGAAAATTGAATGGTATACAGTGTATTTCTTTAGAAAAAATTAAACTAATCAACACAATTTTTATAATTTTAATAATTTCTATTATTTATTTGGGTAAAAAATGTCTAATAACTATCTAATAAATCTTTTCTTAGTAAATTATACATTTACATCTATTCAATGTTAATTAACTCCTCAAAGTTTAATTTAAATGATTTAATGTCTGCAAGCCTACAGATACAAAAAAAATGCTTGAAATTTCATAATAATTCATAAAATTCTAGGGTGATTGTTGAATAATTCAATAATTTTAATCGTAACTTTAACTCGTTATCATTTAATCAATTTTGATTTTAGAGGTATGGTGAAAAGGACCAAATTGACTTAAAAAAATTTGATCTATCGGAATTTGGTATTTAAAACACCTGTTGCCATTTAAAAAATGCAAGTCGTGTTGCGCATGCACACACTGAAAGATTTAAAAATGTTAAAATCATTAAGAAATGTGTATTTATGTATTCCCTATCTCCTACCGAAAACTGGATATGAATCTGATGTCACTGGACAGAATTATTTAGTGTTACCTTTAAAAAGAAACACACTGTAAAGAAAATGCTAATATAAACATTCAGTGAACATTTCATGTCTACAGTAATTTTTTTAGGATAAGACAATTTGATTTTGTGTAAAATTTCTGGTTTTTCCCTAATTTTTTTTTTTGTTCGTGTAGGCGCTTTTGAAAACTACTGGGAATTTAAAATTTTGATCTTCCAATGCACCAAATAGGGAAAAGATCATGAAGTTGAATATGAAACCATTTTTTCGATTACTTTCGTGTACACAGACAAAAAAAATCTAAAATATACATTATTCTTATACACTTGTGAGTTGTGACCTTTATAGTGGCAACTGACAAGTATTAAGTGTACCATGATATTATTGTTTTTTTTTTGAAAACAAAGTAAAATAATTCAATATTCCAATTTGATACCTAAAAATCAACCACAAGTACCAAAGTTGTTGAGCTAGTATGAATACTGTAGCTGTACAAATTGATATGACGTAACATCTGATTTTTTTTTTAAATTTAGAATGGAAATTAGTTCTGATAGTCATTGCATGAACATAAATGCATGCAATCCTCTTAATATTATTCTAATCTCTATTTTGTTAACATTTAAAATAAGACATCTTATATAATTTAAAATAAAAAATAAAAAATGTACAATTAATAAATATTGAAATTATATTCATTTATTATTTAAAAACTTAATAATGATATAAGTAATAACATTTTACAATAATGTTTCTATATTTATTAACAATAAAAATAAATAATACAAGAATATGAGTAACAATAAATTAATTAATTTAACAAACTGAATTGGCTTGTAACTATGGTAGCCAAACTTTAATTATATTCAATTTAACAGTCAATATTTAGCGGTTATTTATCTAATTGGCCCAAAACCAGGAATGTTTAGTAAACTAAATTGTTGTTAATTAAGATATCAATATTCATAACTAAATTAACAATTAAAAATGATGTGTTATTTAAAAACGAATGTATTATTAAATAAAAAATATGAGATACAATGATTGATGAAAATGTAATGTAATGAAATGTAAAATAATTGCCTACATATTTAGACTGGGATAAAGTTAAAATTATAATATCAAAATAGGTGACTGTGGGGGTGGTGGAGGAGCTTCCATTGGTGGAGGTCCAATATCACATTCACTTGATGGTAAAGGTGATGTAATGTTTTCATAGGAATGTAATTCAAATCTATAACAGAAACATAAAACTTGTTATTAAAATATAAATCAAAAGGCATAATACTCATATAAGCTTAGAACAAGTCATAATATTAATATTAAAAATAATAATAGGAAAATAGCTTGAGAGTTGTGACATGTTTATAAATTTAAATAAATGTTATGATTATTAATTGTATATAACAATACATGGCAGCACGAAGAACATTTTTTTTTGAGAGAGGCAAAGAGAATTATTTATACCTATCACCAACACCCCCTTATTTGATTTATTTTACTTATTCCAACCAAATTTATCATTAATTTATAAAAAGGTATTTTTTAATATTTTGAATAGGTTCAATTATCTCATTGTAGATAGTAGAAAAGTAATATAATAATTATTCTTATTTGTTTTTATACTTCATTTAACTCAACTCTATCACTCTTATTCAGATTATAGTTGATTACCTTAAACTCACTGATCTACTGTCATAAGCATCTGAACATCCCATAATACACCTAATCACCAATTTTAGTCGAGGCACAGAGTTCAAGAAAAACTGCATTTACCATGTAACTGATAAATGACAATATATCCCTATTTTTCTAACAGGTACAATAAAATTAATAATCTATTTAGTATTTAATCTGTTTAATTTTTAAACTAAGTTTAATATTTATAGTTATGTTAATATTATTTAAGAAAGTTCATAAAGATTAAAAAAAAAATACTCAACAATTAAATTCTATAGATATATGTACACTTATCAAATTCAGTAAGAAATATAGTAAAGATTATAGGGGAAACACAAATAAAACAATAGAATTATATTATAATATTAAATACTCTTTACAATATTCTATGATTATATACAATAACAACTACATATTTTTTTTTAATTTCATATTTAATTATGTTTTTAATTAATTGTTTGGTGAATAAATAAATAAACTTAATATCTTCACAAATTTTCTAGTATTTAAAAATAAAGTTGAATTAATATTTGATTTAAATTGAATATAAATTCATATGTATACTTATTTTTAAAATCATTATACTTGGGCACTAGGAACTATTTTTTAGGAATTATTATTTTTCTAATGAGTAAAAAGTTAGATTTTAGCACCAAAATGGAGGTAATTCATTTCAATAACTTAGATAAAATTAATCCAAATATACTTACACGTTAGAAGTAGGTGAATTAGGACACGAATCTATATTAGTCACTATTGCCTGTGTTTCTGTATGCGGTTTTCCAGGGTCATAACCAAGGAGTTCAACAACATTTGATTTGTCTAGAGTAGGAGAAACTAAAGGTGAATCGGTCGTAGGATAGGTGTTGCATGTAATAGCATTTTTTAAGACCCTTTGAGCTGTACAGGGGTTTAAAGTTGGCACATTTTCTTCACCTACAACTGTTGCTAGTTCATCCGTATACTTTATGTTCAAGTATTCACGACCAAACATTTCAATTTTCTAAATATAATAAATTATTTTTAAAAAAAACTCATCATTCTACTCAACAAAAAAACCAAGTTTTGTATTTAAATACTAACCTTTTCAGCTGATATTCTTGAACATACTGATTGTACGTAGTGATTTATAGCTGTATATATGAACTGATATTGTGCTTCAGATTGTACAAGTCCAGGGCGAAATGATCTTACCAGATGAGTGGTGCGTTGAATATCCAACTCACAATCAAGACCTAACATAAATAAATAATTTTAATACATTTTACTGTTATTTAAAAGTCTTAACACATACCTTTTCGGTTTATTAGACCAATAAGAATGTCAAGAACAACAAATGTACCAGTTCTCCCAATTCCAGCACTACAATGTACAGTTAGAGGGTGTGTAACATCCGAGTGAGCTTCTATTTCGAACTGGCGAGCATTAACTACAAACTGTAAGTCAAGAAGCGACCCTGCATCAGAAGGAACTCCATGATCCGGCCATCCCTAAAATTTTGTTGATTTTTGAAAAGAAATAATTTAAGTGACAGTATTATATTTGAGAGGCAAGTGTAGCAGGAAATGAGACAAGAAACCATCCATAACAGTGATTCTTATTCTTTATGGAACAACTCAAATTAGATACCTATTCAATTTTTGTTTGGAAAAGTATTTTTTTTGCATATAAACAAGCGGTATGGCTTATTAGCAACTGAAAAACTGAATACATCCAGATTGAAAATCACTAATCTATAAGATAAGCTATTTTTTTG